TTTTCAAGAGGAAATGCGTTAGAGGACCAAGTTACAGGGGACCAGGGGTGCGCACGGAACCACGGATCCAAGCAGCACGACACCGTTTTATTAGAGAATTGTCCTAAAAAAGCAAAAATCTTGTTGTAGACATATATTATATTTTCTATTTCTGAAAATCAAATAAACTTGAAATTCTAGAATCGTATGAATCTAGATATCTTATGAAAGCCGATACCTTAAATCTTGTGAAGCCAGTACCTTGTGCTCCTATCGGAGAGTCGGACTGACTGGTCACGCTGCCTGATGCTCACTTCGGAGGCGAGGCAGCCTACATGTCCTAATTTCGAAGCCTAGCTTCAGATCATGATCGAAATACACCACCCTGAACCCCGAACCCCAAAACGCACCCACTTGTGCTGAACCGTGTTCCTAGTATCATGCTTTCAAAGGCACACCACTGGAACCAACAACAGATCCGAGAGAACAGGGGTTCTTTGAATTGTATAATCCCCTTTGTACCTGAAGCTTAAGCTGCCCCCAGGCACTATTCTAATCATTAAGGCCTCTCAAGAAGACTTAGAAGGTGGTGGAGGCCACGGTGTCTACACACAAAGCACTCTCACGGGCTCGCGACGCCAGCTTGCTGCCTGAGGTTTAGGGTCTCAGACTTAGGTTTCAGGGCTTGGGGTTCAAGGGAGTAGGAGCAGCCATTGCAAAAGGAGGAGTATAATAGTAGGAGTAGTGGTAGTATTAGTAGCAGCAGCAGCAGTAGTAGTAGGAGTAGTAATAGCAGTAGTAGTAGTAGTAGTAGTAGTAGTAGTAGTAGTAGTACTAGTAGTAGTAGTAGTAGTAGTAGTAGAAGAAGGAGGAGGAGTAGTAGTAGTAGTAGTCGTAGAAGAAGAAGGAGGAGTAGTAGTAGTAGTAGAAGGAGTAGTAGTAGTAGTAGTAATAATAATAATAACAGTCGTAGTAGCCGTGGTGCTGCGGTAGTAATGCGAAACGAAATGTTAATGATGCTCAGCCGTTCTATTGATGCCTATGCCTGTAATCTTCAACCGAGCCCCGTAAAGGAAGCCTCAAACCCGACAGCCAGGGCCCGTGCACGGTGCGGTGCAGCTGCGCAGTCGAGCGCCCGATCCCCTTTAGGGGGTCAGGGCTTAGGGCTTCTGGGCTTCAGGGGTTTAAGGTTTGGGTGGTCTAGAAAACTCTACGGTTTTTCCCCCACCCAATGCCAAGAAGGAACAGATCTACCACTGCACTGCAAAAACATGCTTGCATTCGATGTTCTCTCGTCGCTTCGTTCCCTTCACCTCGCTCTCTCTCTCTTCTTGCACACAGTCAAGAGAAGGGCACTGCACCCTTCCCTGCGCGCGCACGCGCACTGGTGACTTTGTCTATGTGTGAAAATTATGGTCGATGCGGCTCTGTTCTAAATAGTATGGGGATCTTTGCTCTCTCTCTCTCTCTCTCTGTGTCTCTCTGTCTCTGCGTCTTTCTGCAGCTACGCAAGTGCACAGTGTCGGACTGCAGCACCAGCTGGGACTTAATGGGCCCAGGCTATCACTGTGAGCACACCAAGCAAGACTCGCCTTCCCTCCCTCGGTCTCTCCCTCTCTCTCTCTCTCTCTATCTCTGTTTCTCTTTGCACACCCTCGTATTCTACAGAGACGAGGCTCTGCCTCATGTGCAAAGATACAGCACGCTGTTCCCTTTGCGTTTTGAGTACCGACACGGGTCATCGAATTATTCCATGATGTGGAGAACCTTGCGGTCGGCTGAATTTTTAAATCATATTCGTGCTGAGTTCGAGATTCGCACTGGTAGCCCTGAAGTGGTTTTGATAAGGAGCCCAAACAATAGCTTTGACTGTCTTCGCGTGAAGATGAATGCCGGCACTAGCTAATTCCAATCTCGGTAGTTCCCAGAAAGTGTCATTGGCATGAACAACTCCTTGCAAGAAAACTGTAAGTATCTAACTAAGAAGAATCTTTATCTCAACAATCAACACAGCAGGGTGTGTGTGTGTGTGCGCGGGCTTGCATCGAGGTCATGATGGAGATTACGACGAACAAAGGGGTCTACGAAACGAGACGCGGTTTTGGCTGCAGTCAGTCGCACGCACAAGGCGCACACACTAAATACTCAGGAATCACGATGAGAATCCACAGTGGGTTGTGGTGGAGGTCATCAAGGTTGTCAGAGCAGCAAGTTGCATCTGCAAAGGCTACACGCAGACCCAGTCCTGCCAAATTAGTGGCACGCTGCTCTTCTACGTTCGGTTTGTGCTCTGTTTTCAACAACAGGGAATCAAGAGTATAGGTAGCGGCAGGATAAGCCGAATTCTGGCACTCACTAACAGCTGTACTTCCAAAAATCTGCTTCCTGATTCCTTAGTCCAAGATCCGCTAATGTCTCTTCAGAAACCCAGTTCTGACATACACAAGCCTGTCACACCACAAAGCGAACAAATCCAAAGAAGACAAAACTCATGATCACTGGGTTGTTAGTGCATCACGGCACCAAAACTACACATCCGTGCCAAAGCCAACAGGTGAGTTATCCTCGCCTGTGGCTTCCAGCGCGGCAGCCGCATTTTCGGAGGGCCTCTAGTGCCAGAACATTACATGGCATGCGGGTTTCCGAAAATGGGGGCCCTAAGAAAGTCCCCGAAATAGCAGGATCCTCGTAAAAGGAGCCTAAAATGAGATACCCCTTATTCTCGGAAACTCCCACATCTTGAAAGGGTGCAACATGCAGAGGATTGACCACCAAGAAGCCAGGCCATTAGACACTCACTGCTACAAAGCCAGACGCACACTTCGTTCACTGAAACATCATTCTGAAACCAAGAGATCCGGGCGTTCTGGTATGTGCGCCAGCTTGATCACCTCGCCAGGCACAATCTCTCTGATGTACTCTATGTCTCTCTTGCGGCCTCTTCGACATGAAATCGCCATCTGCCATGAAACCTCCAACATATAACATGCTACAAATGCAAGTGTGTGTGTGTGTGTACATGTATATATACCTGCATTATCTGCGATCGTATACATATATGTATATGCAAATGTGCAAATGTATGTGCGTGTATATGCAGATGTACACTTAAGCTAAACCATTATCATAGAATAGTGAACCAATATAATGAGAGTATATAGCGTAATGCAGAACAATATAACAAAAAATAACATAACACAACATAACATTATAACGTGGTATAACATGACATAAACTAGAAAATCGTGATATAACATGATGTGGCGTACTAACACAACATAACACATCACAAAAAGTATAATACAATAAGATCTGGTATGATACGACATGATGGTACAATATGACATGATGTGATACCATATGACACTACTAAAACAAAAAATACGATATAACGTAGCCCCATGATTGTTAGGGCTCTGTGTATTGATTTACGGTGTAGGTCCTGAATTTCGTGATATAAACCCTACAGTAAACCCTAAACCCTAAACCCTACAGCAAACCCTAAACCCTAAACCCAAGAGTAAACCCTAAGCCCTAAACCCTACAGTAAATCCTAAACACTAAACGCAACAGTGAACCTTAAACCCTAAACTGTGGGCTCTATGGAAATGGGAACCCCAAGCATGGTTGAACACCTGCAGGTTCAGGTTGAGGCTCGACTTTGGGTCTAGGCTTTGAGGTCCAGTTTGGGTTTAGCAAAGTTTAGCTTTAAGGGTTTAGCTTTGGGCTTAGTGTTTGGAGCTTGGTTTGGGTTCAGGGTTTAGGATTTAGGTTGGGTTTAGGATTTTAGGTTTAGTTTGGGGTGAGGATGAGAAATAAAATTTGCGGTCATTTGATGTCATGCGGTTGTGGGCTCAGCAGGCGCGCGGAGCTCGAATACACACACTAGTCACTAATCCACAACCGCATGTGGGCAAGGTGTGCTTGAGTTTTGTTCTGGAACAGGGGAGCCTTGAAGACAGCTGTTGCCGTTAGCTCCTCCTGAAAGAACGAAAACTTGAAAACATCCCGACCTCAGCGAAGGCTCTCAGAATGGCGGGCCTTGTCGGCCTTTTCGAAGCTATCTGCGACTATTCCACTGGATTCACCTGATAGGAGGCAGAGCGCGGCAGTGCCGGGTATAGACGTTGTCTTCCGAGCTTGCAGCCCTAGTTTTGCGTTTGACAAGCAAGACTTTGCCGAAATGAGAATAGAAGTCTTGACTGATGACCAGTCGATGCAAGGTGAAGCGCGCATGAAGGCGGCGCACGCTTGATACGGCAGCATACTTGTGAAACTCCTCACACTGCTCAAACGCTCAAACAGCTACATGTAACTTCCTGACCTCTGCCGCCACAACTTCGAACTCATCTGCTACCACCGAAGACTACAGAATGCTATCCTCCATATAGCTAGCCGTTTGTATCCCGTCGACGGAACAGCACTTCCAAGACTCGTACCTGCTATGATCGCCATGACCACCAAGGCTCCTGCAACTTGAAACACTCGAGTCCCTGCTTCGGCCAGGCGGCTGCTTCGCCTTGAGCTCTGCGATGATCGACGTGAGGCCTTGCAGGGTCATGGTGGTTTTAGCTGCATCCGACTACTGGGCGCAGATCTCAGAACCTTTGAGAGGCCGCAGCTTCTCGGAAAGGAGGGTCCCGGCCCCCTTAACCCTAAACCCTAAACCCTAAACCCTAAACCCTAATCCCTAAACCCTAAACCCTAAACCCTGAACCCTAAACCCTGAACCCTAAACTTTGACCTCCTAGGGAGATAATGCACCAGCTCTCGGTCCCAGCCCCGGCCTGATCTGTTGGCTTCCTTGGTTCGGAGGCGAAGACGTGAACTCGCAATGTTAGCAGCTCTACAGCCAGGAAAAACCACCCTGTGAGTCAAGGGTGAGAGCTGGATTCTGAGAGACACTCCTATAAGTCGACAGCCCAGCGATTGCAAGACGCAGCTGGACGACGAAGGTAATCAAGAGTTGAGACAGCATCGGAGCTGAAAGCAAAAAAAAGGATTACAAAGTCTGAACTGGATCACATTAGCTTTTGTCGCACTGCTTGCAGAGTGACCAGCGGTTTAAAGTAGCCACACACGAACATGCTGCACACTGCGAAGTGCCTAGAAATCCAGAAGACCAGCGAGCACCTCCAGCAAAATGAGCAAACGTTGCAAGTGAAGGCCTCGTACCCTAGAGAACTGACGAGACATTTTGGTTGCGGCCATCTGGCCCACTCGACCAATGAATCGCGAGTCAATTTCAATTTCATCGCCACAGCACTCGCAAGGGCATTTTCGAAACTGTCTGGATGGACGCTGTGAACAACAAAGACCCTTGTGCAAGGTCCAGACTTGCTGACACTGCCGGCTTCAAGGACATGCCCCAACACTAAACCCCTAAACCCCCAAGCCCTAAACCCCTTAAGGCCGGGAAGCTCGTTGGGATTGTGGACCGGCGCAGTATGCGGGCTCAGCTCCCAGTGGTGCAGCACAGCACCGCCAAGCACGGCACTGCAGTGATCCTCGACCTCCTGGAGTTATATTACAAAGGCTGTATATTAAAGTATATTATAATCATATTCTAGCATATCTTAGGATATTCAGAGTATACTATAGTATAGATCAAAGTCTTCCGTGGGAGCTTTTGACCGCTTCAGCCCGGGCCGAGGCGAATATCCACGTGTTTTTGTGCTTGTGTTTTTGCCCTGAGCCCATAAACGGGGCACGACATGCGGAAGCCTAAGGGAGATTTCTTGAATGGCCGCGGGCCGGAATAATAGGAGTCTTCACACATAAACCCGAAACCCTAAACC